TGCATTATGATGTTTTAAAATATCATTTTCATTATAAGGTCGTTGTGATAAGATGGGTTTAACAACTTCCCAGGTTGTTTCTTCTCTCATTGAAATTACTTTATAAAACGGAACTGTTTTAATGGTTACTTGATATACAACACCTAATGCCCCTAAATTTACTACGCTTGCGTTAAACGTTTCATCTTGTTGAATTAATTGGATATTTGGATATTGTTTCGAAAATAATATAGGATCCGTGATTCCATTTGTAAGTTCAACTCTATAAATTTGTCCACCTGGTACAACAAAGTTAACTGCAACTACAAATGATGCCAAAGGTTGAAGAGTAATGCCACTCCCGTGTGTTGAGGTTGCATTACACCCGACGATTGATTGACCATCATATCCAGGTAAATTAAATACAGCTCTTTCATCCTTTTTTAATTCTGATATAATTTCATTAATTGTAGTTCCACATTTTACGTCATAATAAAAATTTTCTAACTTAAATTCTTCTTTTAAACAATCCAAATCGGCTTTAGCCACCCCATGATAATTATTAGTATAAAGAAGAAATCCTTCGGTTTCAGTTAACCGACTGTATAAAGAGATATTTTATAAATCAATATAATAATCGTGTATTCCATAAAATTAGATTTTCTTGATAATTACTTGAACGATTCAAAACTTCCTACAGCTTTAACACGTTTCTTTTCATCATTTGAAGCTCTCATGATCTCAACAAGCCTTTCCAATGATTTAATTTCTTCAACATCTGCATTGAACTTAATATTACCAAGTTTATTTGCCACTACCTCTATAATTGTTTTTTTTTTTTTTTAAAAAATGATTTTAGAATTTAGTGTGCCGCAGCAAATATTTATATAAAGTTATTAACCTATTTGTGGTCCAGCGTGGTCTACATGTTCATCAACAAGTTGTTTTTTAGTCTCGATGATCAGCAATTCTAAAAATATTTTCAGTAAAAATACAGTAAATGAATGAAATGAATGAAAAAAAGTAAAAAAAAATATATATATATTAAAATAAACGAAAGTAGCCTACTAATTTTCTTTTTAATTTCATCGCTCTTTTCATAAATTTCTGATAATTCCCAAAAGTTTGTTCCATCATAAATTTTCATTGCTTCATCTTTATATTTTGGATTAACCATAAAACTTTTACCATTATTTTTCTTCATATGACTACACTATTCACAATTTATTTAATTCTTTTTTCTATTCGCTTTGAATTAATAAACAAAAACCATTTGATTACTTACTTTACCAAAAGAACGAACAAAGTTAGTAAAAGAATCCATTTCTTAATTTTAAAAAAAAATCATTGAAAAAGAAAAAAGTTCCTTTTTTTTTTTTTTTTTTTTTTGACTATTTGTCAATTAAAAAAAAAAAAACGGTAAATTGTATCCAATTTTGGTCATACAAAATTCATTTTTATATTTATAATTTTTATAATAAAGTAAAATTCGTGTGACTCTTTCGGAGTCATTTGTCCGATAAACACGAAAAAAAAAAATGGAAATATATAATATTTAATTTCTAAGTTACACAGTTCGAAAAAGGACATAATTAAACTTACTTTATCCGTTAGGATTCCGAATTCTTTCAGGTTGGCAAATATAACCGTTTAGTCACGTGAAATACGAGGATTATTTTTTTTTAAAAAAAAAATGAAATTTTCCTGTACAAATTCCTTATATAAGATCAAGAAAAAAAGCCTTTTTAGGGCCATGGGATAAGGCGAGGTTAACACTATTTGATTTTTTTTAATAAAGCTTGGGTACAGCAGAATGAATATTTTGAATTAGTTGAGGAGATTCCCTTAAAATTTTAGATCTTCGTTGATTCAAAGGTGAAGCATCAATCGCTTGTCAAAAATTCAGTTACATAATAAATTTTTTATGTCTTTGTCCGGCCAATTGCCATTTGCTTAACCTCGAAGCCGGATAAGATCTTTGGTAATGTAACTCCTTAAACACCTTTCAAGACGAAATGCTGTCTACCAATTCCATATTCAAAAAATTGTTTTAATGCCTTATTTTCGATTGTTTGAAAATCTTGCCAACTATCGAATAAATTTAGCATATTCCGGTTCCAATCTTTAATTTTAAAATATCTTTATTCTTGCATAGTTTTTTTATGAACCGTTAACGGAAGCGGTATTAACTGATGATGGATTTAATTATCATCACCAGATTTAAAACCATTCATCATATAAATATTAAAGGATCTAGCGAAGGGAGGGTTATTAGGCTGATCGAGATCAGCATTGAAGTCTCCTAATAATATGATGTGGTAATCGTCTCGGGTTGCGTCTTCAATTAAGCTGGTAACGTATTTTTGGATATCTTTGCGCAGAACATTAGTTCCTTTTCTTGTTGGAAAGGAAAACTTTTACAGAAGTAGAAAATCTATCTCATTTAATAATTTACACCATCTTTAATAGTAATAAGCAACATTTACAATCTTCTGCTAATTTAACTACTTCAACAAAGTTGTGACCTAGATGATCGGTTTTTCAAAAGTTTTAAATATTCCGACTTTGAAATTGTTTTTTACTTTTGCATAAGGTTCAATAAGTCCATAATCCCAAAACATTATTGAATATTTTGTTATACTGTCGTTTTCATTTAATGATTATCATTCCCTTTTCTTACTTATTCGTATAAAAGTCTATTCTTAAGAAAGGATGCCTCGTCGCCAAGACGCATTCTTTGTGTGTTCCTTGTATCATAGGCGAGCTTGAGCAAGATTCCAATCTCCGAAATTAGGCGCAAATGGTAATAATTGAACTCTAACTAAATATTAGCCACAAATATTGTTCGGTAGATCCAAAAATCTTATTTATTGGCGAACTATTATTTTGTTCCACGAGTAAAAAAAACAAAAATTAAAAAAAAGTAAAGTAAAATAATGAAGATAAAAATACCAATTTGTTGCACAGTTTCTGAAAGCATTTGCATAACAATAACCGGAAATAACCGAAATGATCCGATGCGCTGTGCGAAAATTTATTATGTCCAGATAAATTTTCCTAATGGAATGTATAACAAAACATTGCATATAACGGAAAATTAAGAATATCAGACTACGTTTCGATTTATCCATTACTAATAAAACTTTGATCTCTATTCACAACGAAGATTAAATTAATAAAGCACAAAGAGAAGCCACCACTCCAAAATGAGTCACTTGTATCACTATTAAAGAAAGCATATCTTTCTCGAATATCTAGGGATATCGATATTCTAAGATAGTCGACATTATTTGGCCCATTATGCATATAAACAATAGGTATTTGGACTAACAAATATAAATCAAACTATATTTAAAAAAAATCTGATAATGAATTACGTTTCCGTTTACCAATATTTTTAGGAGCTAGACATCAATTCTTTTACGTATCACAACAAAGGTAGAAAATATGTAGCAGACGTTCATTTAATCAAGGGAATGAGTCTAGCTTTTCACCAACAGAATGATCGTTACACAAAGAAATGTCGATAGGATAACTTATTAATCAAAAAAAGATCATGAAAGGCGACTTCAAGAAGGATAGTGATTAAAAAGAATGGCATTAGATTAATCTCTAATTATTTATAAAAAATCATCAAATATCTCAAAGTAATCTCTCTCCCTCTCTTTCTTCTACTACAAAAATATTGAGCGATAGTGAAGAACATTTTTTTTTTATTTTTATTTTATTTTTTTAAGAAAAAATAACATGCGTTAATCACGTAAATACCCATATTTTTTAAAATGTTTTAAACATTTGCAAATACCTCAACATTAAATGTATTGAATGCTTGGAACAGTTTATTTATGTAACCTGATAAAAATAGTTTTAAAAAGTAATATCGAATTTGCAAACCATATGGTTTTATGTGAAAAAAAATACATTTATTCTCAGGATTTAATCTAGAATATTATGTAACATTTAAAAATCCTCTTAGAGACAAACATGGTAATGGGTCTGGACCGAACATTGCAACCGCATTTCAACATCTTAGTGAATTCAATCCGTCAATGAACTGTATTACATGCTATAACAAGCTATTTGAAACTTGTTTATGTATATATACATTTGGAAGTGGTTTTAAAAGAAAATAAACAAATCACATCAATTATTCGTAAGAACTTCTTCATTCTGATTCATATAGTACATAATACTTACAAATAAATTTTTTTTTCTAATGCAGGTTCTAGATTCAATAAACGAATATTAAGTAAGACCCATTGACAAAATCTATCATCAAAAAAATGATTTTTTAGGGTACATTTGTTATATTTTGCAGATTATTTGGGCGTGCAGAATTGTAAACAGTTTCACGTCGCTCTAAAAAAAAAAAAAGAATCTGAATTTTGGTTGGTCAAGTTGAATTAAAGGATGTGTTAAAAAGGAAATATTTATTGATTCATTCATTATTCTGAGGGCTCAATAACGGCAAGTTGGCAAATTACGAAGGTAAAAAAATGATTATTAATATGATTCATATTGCAAGCAAACGAATGAGAAACAAAATATACATTTAATTAAAAAATTTATCGGAAAAAAATGCAAAAAATGCGGGTATACTGAACATTCCCACAATTTTTTATTCCGGTTTTTACCCTTGTTTATATCCATGATTAAAAAAAAAAAAAGGACTTATTGGGTGAAATAACCGCATGAGATTTATCAAAATATAAGCACAATAATAAATTTTGTTTTGGAAAAATCCCCCTGCATGGATTTTTGTAACGTAATTTTACAAGGTTACAACCAATAAAATGATGAGTGAGGTCATCAACTGACTGAGCGTAAAAAATTCGTTCTTATAATCGTGTTTTGCATGTATATGCCAGTTCATTTCAAAGTTGACATTATGTAAACAAGGTCTAGACCTATAATGAAAAGATATATAATATGACCGAAAGCATTTAGAACCAAAAGATTAAAAAATTTATTTTTTGGAAATCATAAACAAATAATTGTACCCGAATCTTAAAAATTTATCCATGCATCGTATCGATCAAATCGAAATGGGAAATCCTACTGATGAAAAAGATTTTAATCGACTTGAACTTCAACATCATTTATTTAAAATCATTTGGGATAGTAACTTTTCAGTTCCTATGCAAGATCAACTTAGTATAGGAAATACAAGAGTTCTTGAAGTTGGGTGTGTAAAAAATTATTTACAATAAAAAAACAAAAAAAAAAAAAATTTCATAAAACAAAACTAAACGAAATCTTCTCTTTACAGATCGTGCCCAACAATATGGACGTTTGATATGGCCTCAGAATACCCTTTATCAACATTTGTTGGCATCGAGAAACCTTCCGCAATAACAACTACTTCTTCAATATCTTCTTTTTATTCGAAAATTCCTAAACCACGTAATGCAATCGTTTTACAAACGAATGTATTCACAGATATTCCATTCCCCAATGAAACTTTTGACCTTGTTTACCATAAACCAACAGCCATAACGCCATTATTACAATGTCTACATAATCCTTTAAACACAATAAATCAAATGATAAGAGTGCTAAAGCATGGAGGCTGGCTGGAATTTATGATAATTGAAAAGCGATGGTATAATCTTGGTCCTATAACTCAATACATGGAAAATTCATGTAAGTATAATTTAAATAGCAGCAATAATCACATTAAGCCATAATCTAATCGACTCATTTTATTATTTAGTTATAGAGTTTTGTCCTTCGTTTAGAATAAACAATCTTGAGTGTACACAATTGAAACAATACTTACACACAAAGAATGATCTTTCAAGTATAACTATACAAACAAAAGAAATTCCAATAGGTAGTTTTGGCGGAAGAATCGGTGAATTCGTAAGTCTTTAAGTTATTTTTAATTTAATTTGTGCACGAAAAAAATGGTAATAATTTTTTTTCCTCCCCATTGAAAATTATAGTTAGGCGAAACCTTGCTTAATCCAATTAAACTTAATAAACATAAGCTATGTATAAAAATGAAAATTTCTGAAAAAAAATTTGATGAATTTTTTACTATGATGTCGATAGAGATCAATCAATATAAATCTTTTTGTAAATCTCATAGGTATATTAATTATTCAATATTCTTTTTTTTTTTTTTAAAAAAAAAAATCCCAATTAATTTACTTCTCTTCGAATTGATAATAGAATATTCGCAAGAAAACAGATATCTACCTGAATTTGTAAATATTAAATTAAATATATGGGACCTTTGTAATATAAGGGGGAAACTGCCGGGAAAAATAAAAATGGGATAATGCTATGCTAAATATTAACATAAAGTAATTTAATTTTCATCCTTTCTATGCTAAGGTTTCATATATATTATATATATTATATATACGGTACATTATGAAGAAATGTTTAAATAAATTTTGTAATTATTAATTTAATATGTTTAATATGATTAAGTTATTATATGCCGAGTTTT